ATAAAAAAAATTTATACCAAATAAGTATTTAAGGCAGCTTGAGTCCCCATCAGATTCCTAGATAATAAACATCAGTCAGTTAGTTATGAGTAAAAATATTATACTTACAGAAAAAAACATTCTTTCAACTGACAATTTGAAAATTCTGGATTACATTCTGCTTGTTTTGTTAGTATTAAAACCCATACATCGATAACGGACTAAGTAGACACAGACAAAAACGAATATTCCTAATCTAATGAATAATTTATAGAGGAAAAAACAATTTTTCAAATTTATTTTTTGTTTCAACATAGTTATAATTGTGATACATAGAATATTTGGGGAATTGTTCAGAACTAAAATTCATTCAGTCTGATAAATAACAAAAGTGCGTCAATTTTTTTCATGTGTTAAGAACTTCAAAGAATGACCTACTTACAATTTGAATAAACTTGAATATCCATTGATCAGAGAACCATAATGTTGTTTATTGTTGGAGGTTAATTGATATTAGGAATGAAAGTAGAAAGCTGTATTTTGGAGTTCTAGTTCTAATTACTACATAAAACTACAACTTGAAGATTTGTTAAGGCTAAATATTTATACGATACTACAGAACAAATATTTTCTACAAACGGGCTCAATGTTATAAGTCTACTTTAGTAACGGTATTAATCACTAATAAAAAAAAAAGCATACAAACTATCCTAAATGAAAAATCCACTAAAATTGTTAGTTTGTGTTGATTACCACTTAAACGTCATCGAATCATGCAGATTTATTCATGCATTGTAAGATTACCAAAACCACCTCAAAATAAATAACCCTCCAGTCTGATCTATACTATAACTGAAATTGACACATCTTATCCAAGCGTTATGGTCTATTAAAAAGAGTGAAAAACAATATGCACTTTGTGCTTCATACACTGAAAATTATATACTATAAAAGATCAGAATTCACTTTTTAAAAGCTGAACAAGGTACACAAACAAATTAAGAAAATTATGGAATTAAATAATTTTAAAATAATTATGTACAACTTTTACAAATATAAATTTATAATGGGATTTTTTGTTATAGTTTGCGTAATATATTCATCTTTTCACTTTTTTCAGCATTTAGTTCACATTTTCAAAAGCAAAATGAAACCTAGAAATCCATTTTGGATGTAAAAACTTAACAATTAGATGAAATATGATTGTAGATGATGAATATTGTATGATATAAAATTAAAGAAAATAGACTAAATTTTAGTAAAATGGGTAACTAAAAAAAAGTATTATACCAATAACTAAAAATTACAACAACCATAAACACAAAGGAAAACCAACCTAAGAATGGCTATTATGAAAGAAATGTGTGGTAGACACTACCAAAATTTAAATGCCACTCTTAGTACCTATCACTTGTTACAGTTTATTTCATTGAGTTCTCAAAAGCTAACTTCTTTTTGTGCCATATGAATATTTTTGTTGAATTATCTACTTTAATAACAGTAATTTCTGCCTCAGCAAGCATAAATGAGCAAGTAATGTCTTGATAAATATTATTAGGAAACAACCATATTTATTAAATTTTGATATTTATCTTTTAAAATCCTGATGTTAGAGATATGTACCTACATAGCAACTGGATATACCAAGGGGGAGGGGTGTCTGAGCGGGCTAATACATGCACAAAACATGTGTTGCCCGCCAATCTGATAAACAGAAGTTAATAGATAAAATAATTATGAGTTCACATCACGGTGTCAGGGAGGGGCTTCTAACACTGGCATTTATCCCCTGCCCTCTCTTCTGGTCCGGTAAAATCCTCGTATAGCCTAAAAGGTGAGGAAGGAGAGTACAAAACAACTGAATGTACTTATTTTGTTATTGGTATGCAGTTGAAAAGACTAATTCTAGTACATATATCATAACATTCCAAAAAGGCCAATCAAGGATTAATGCTAGCGCATTTTATTTAAGGAAAATAGAATGAAAAAAGAATGGATATAATAATATTCAAATGTAAAATGTGAATAAAGCACAGATAATTGAATTCATGGAACCAAAGTCAAATAATCTTTTGATTTCCGATGAAAAAAAAAGTAAGTTACAAAATTGATGTAGCAAAATGTGAATAGTAAGGTACAATATGGAGGTACATTATAATAAGAGTTAGGGTGGCCAACACTTTTTTCATATCTTCTTTTGTTGGAAAGAGTTGGAGTATTAATTAAGAGGTTGGCAATAGAAACTTTCAATAGAAACAAATGTTTTTTTGTTGATTCTAAGCAATATCCTCATATCCTTGAGACACAAGTATTATAATTCATTCAATAATGGTAAAAATGAAAATATATACCATTTCATCAATTATGTGAATAAATGTGATTTATATGTCATGCAAGTTTAGATGTAGATTCAGAATTCATAATTTAATAAATTATAAATAGATAGATTGAAACATTACATACACTTAAAATTTAAAACAATGCCACCATAATGCCATTACTTAAGCCTTTTATGACTAAACAGAAGATTGAAATATATGTGGGTATGAACCATCCGTAGAGGTATACACAGCAAAATTGAACTTTTCTCATATTTCTAGGAATGTCTTATTAATAATATTAAAGTGAACAATCATTAAATATTCCTATAAATAGTTGTATTTGTATCATGGATTAATTATTTTATTTTATTTCACTGGAGAATTAGCTGGGTCATTTCGCTCTTCATTATACATTTTATGATAATATTGCCTACAGAACACAATTTGACATGTTTTTTTTATGGGAATTTAGCAAAAAGTAATATAGCAGCAATCACATAAAAAAGGATGGAAATTTATGGCGACGGTCACATAAGCAGTAGGCAGGAGCAACAATGTTTTAAAGATTTTTTAGGAGTAAATTTCAACCTTTTAAATGAGCCTCACTTAAGCCAATCATTTGAATAAAACGAGAATCTTCTGAGAGCTGCCGTTGAAAGAAATTTAGCTGTAACAGTTGAAACATTTTTCAAGAAACTGTAACTAATCCATTTCAACATCCATCCACATCACCAGTTTTCAAATAATTTAAAAACCTACATTAATTATGGAATTACCAGATAAGATAAAAGTAAAACTGTTATAAAATTTAGAATCTATTATAAATTCTTTCTGTAAAATTTGAGAAACATATTTACAGAAAGAATACAATTTTAATAATACAGAACTCTACAAAAACTACCAATGAATACATTGCAATAGCAAATATATGTAGATACACTTACAAAAATAACCAGCACCAATATAAAAAGTATTAAATTAGAAGTATTGACCACTATTACAAAATAATAACTTATAGATCATGAATTATTACATGCCAATAGTCTATACTTGTGGTATATGGACTTTAAGCAGTAAAACCTTTCTTAATAACAGATCTTGTTCAGTAGGAAGCGATGAGGAGAAGGATTTCGGCTAGAATCAGAACCCACAAAGGATTACTTTCTGAACTCCCACTCCAATATTTTGTGAAGAGTGGCAGAATTTCTCTAGCCTCCCAATATTTCAATCTTTACTTATAAATAATTCACAAAAAATTTCAATAAACCACAGAAATAATAGCAAGATTATATTACAGGTAATTAAATGATGAATGGGCTATTGTTTTATGTATGGTATTCTAACCTGGCCTCATCCCAATATTTCTCAAGCACAGTTGATTTGATCAAGAAAAAATTACATAAAATACATAGGTGACATACAAGTGGTTTAGTTTCCCAAATATAGCAATTTAGAAAATCGTCAAAACATAAAAAATAAACTGTTGTTGGTGTATTATATATAATTTTATCAATTATCAGCAATAAAGTATTATCACGGTATTTCAAAAAGGCCTGAAATCTTAATAAGCATGCATGTTTAGTTAAGAAGATAAAACTATTGACAAGGAATGTTCCAATAAAACATAACTATTGTCAGATTTAATTGGAACAGTACATAATAAATAAATAGGCTCAATAACCGAGAATCAAATAATAGACATTTTAAAGCTATATACATTACTTTATATACATATGAAGTTTTAAAAGATGTTAGTTGTAGTGAACAAAACTTGAATTTAATTATAATTACAAACCAAATAAATATAATAGATTATATTATATAAAGAATGAAGATGTTATAAAAACATGTTTATATACATAACAACAATTTCCAAGCTTCCAGTTATAAAATTTATACCTACCAAAAAAAGAAAATTACATAATTACTAATAATTTGTTTCATTGATACCACTTCTTTTAGTATATCCAATTAATGTGTTCTCAAAATTTCACACATAAGGTATTTTGTAAATATTTCTTTTAAATAAGACAAGTAATGCCATTAAAATTCAATGTAAGAACACAAAATGCATAGCTTTTTGAATTACTAAATATTCTCAACAGTGTAGTTTAGACGTGCCAGTTCCAGTCATTACATGTTAATAAAAATTAGATAAAAACTCACATGCTGCTCCAAAACCTTATAATTGACCAATGTGGTGAGAATATATTCACTAAATATTATTTTTATTAAAAATAGTGGCTATAAATTTTATCTAACAAATATATACTAGTAATAATATATAAATTATTGTCATAAGATTATAATGCGACTTTTAATTAAAAAATAATCTAATCAAAGCATATTTGAACCAAAGATCAACAATGAATATGCTCCTCTAATTAGCGATATTTACAACGACAATAAGAAAGATAAATTTACAAAATAAATTAAGGAAAATTTTTCTTAGTAATAGATATTTATGAGGAAATACAGTTAAACCTTTTATTTTAATTAAAAATTTTAATTTTAAAATCATTCGTAATTTCAATACATAAACCACATGGAATAAATATAAGATAAAAAAACCCTGTTAAACTAAATAATACTTAAATCATTTGATAAATATTAATGATAGGAAAGAAGAATAGTACAAATAAATAAAAAGTAGCACAGAGATTATTATCAAGATTACTTTATGACAATAATTTAACTTACTTATTTTGCGCATCAATGATGACAGCCCTTGATTTCCCCTTGAATGATACTTGATATTGGGAACTGAAAGTAGCCTGGTATCACGCTTTGGTGTCTCCTTTTTTTCCCTTCTAGGAGGAGGAATGGGCCTTTCATCGAATAAAGGCAGTTCTGTAGGACGTTCAGGCTTTTCTTCAGAAACTGGAAATCTTATTTTAGGTATTTCATCTTCTGGACTAAGGCTGACAGAGCTTTCTTCCACACATTCCTGGTCAGTATAAAATACAGAACACGACCGCTTATTGTTGCGTGGTTGAAACTTCAATTTAAGGTCTACTTTGCTGAGTTGTTTTTTTAGAGTTCCAATTTTTCTACGCCTTGATTCTCCATCGTCGTGAGGAGATGAGTTTCCTGACAGGTTAGGGTCCTCCAAAACATCTATACCCTTTTAAATATAAACTAGTTTTACGATATCTATTGAAAACTATTAAAACTCATTTAATGTTAAACCTCCGCCGGGCACTGTGTCATCCAACAAACGGCAATCACTTAGAATCGTGTTTAACAGGAAAAAGAATAATTTGCTGACTTTGGGTCAAATTATTCTACCTGAAACTCTTCTTTTAAATCGGTGAGAAAAATTAGGACTTGCCATATTCATAGTTATGCTTAGCGATTTGAGGAACAATAAAGTTTTCAACAAAATGCAAGTACAGATAGGAGTTATTTTTCTGAACCTTTATTATTATTAAATTTAATCTATTATTTGTTTATTTAATTAATGGACAAATTTAATATTTTATTTATACATCTTTTATTTATTACTTTTATATTACTATTTACTATTAACTAATTACAATTAGATATTTTTAGAACGAAAAAATATTTTTTGGTAAACTCATACGTTGTGTTTTTAAAAACCTATAAATGAACAATCCTATAATTTTGGCGAATGAAATAATTTTTGATATCGTTGGGGGAAACAAAACAGAACAAATGTTATGCCCGGTGATGGTTATAACCTTAGCACCCGGCAGAGGGTTAAATATAATGGATAATAGTTAAGCCAAACAAGCTCAAACAATATATTTATAAAGAATTATAATGAATAGAATTTAAAATCAATTATTAAATATCTAAGATTAAAAAAAGAAAGAATTTACAATAAAAAAAAAGTTAGCTAAATTTAAATATTAAAATCTAAGAATGATAAATGGATTAAAGAAACTTTAAGGGGCCTGTGACATGCGACATCAGTAAAACTCCAAAATACAATAAAAAGATAAATATTTGATCACATTGGCTTGCTGAAATAAAATTACAGGTTCTCTCTTCTTTAATTAACTTTTAAATGAAATGATAAGACCCATAGGATGACATTTCGTTTGATTCATTGAATCTAGGAATTGATGGGATACACTTAATAAATAAAAGGTAATACTTTATTTATTCTTTTGCTAAACAAAACTGGTGTGACTACATTTCTGGATGGAAAGACAACATACCTAAGACTGAGAATAACAGAATAAAATAAAGAGACTAACCAATAAATTCAAATAAAATAAATAAATAAAACCATGTGAAGAAGACTGGAGAACACATTAAAAAAACCAATATCTTAATATTATATATATTTTTGCATACAAATTCTTTTATACAAAAAAAAATTAAGATTTCTAGATCAAATAACATTATAAAAAATCACAGAAAAGAAATATTATATTTTCTCCTCTTCTCCATTAAAAAAAAAAAAAAAAAAAAAAAAAAATGATCTAAAAATAGATATTGGAAAAATGATAGATGTATAAGAAAAATCATCATATATTAGATTTATCAAGATTTCATCATATTAATAAAATCAGGCACAAAGGTAACAAGGTGCCAAATTTCATTTCTGTTCAAGTTAACATACTAATCCATGCTAAATGTTTAACATACTAATGCAAAAAACAAAACAAAAGCACTTCATGCCAAAAAGAAGAGACTATTTTTTGTCATTAGGTCATCAAATATTAGGTATCCGACTATTAACAATTAAAACTGAGCCTTTAATAGAATCAGAACAAAGAGAGTAATCAAATAACAATCAACTGATTTTTGACTGCCAGCGTAACTATGATTGTCTGATATAATTGAGAACTGCAGTTTAAGATAAGACAACCAAGGGAGCGAGCTATTAAAAATATTACCTCACGTTAATCAATTTTGATTTAATTAGCTGAATCCAGGTCTGGCCAACCCAAGCGGCTTTGCAGGTCACTTTAGTGACTCATAACACAACTGTGGCCTAGGCTAATATGGCTTTAAAGCAAATTTAATAAATATAAAAAAGAGGAACAAAACATTATTGTTATATGGATTCAATGGCTATGGGTTCATTAGGTTTCTGATTCATCAGGCTATGGATTGACCAGGCCTAATCTTTTGATGACCACTTCTGTGTCACCATTAACTAAAACATATATATGTTGTATTATATACATAAAACTATATATGTATATATTGGGCACTACATCGTATGCTAGGAACTGTGAATTAAAGTTGGATCTTGCTAGAAAATAAAAATTATAAAATTTTAAAAATTAAAATTAATTACAATTCATAGCATCATATATATACTTGTACTATATTTCACTGTAACATCTGTTTTATCTATATTTTAAAAATCATCTGCATGATAGTCAAATGCGTGAAGGGAATTTTATAGAAAATTGTATCAATCAAGGTAAAGTGAACACTCCTGAATATAGCTGTTCGATTCTATGAAAATTTCAATTACCCAAATAAATTTATTACAAATGGAAAAAAAGAAACCTATTCCTTGGGCCAAATTTTATCTAATTTTAAGCCTACATGTAGTACTTAAAAATCAAACTTAATAAGTTTAGAAACTTCTAAATACATAAGATCAACTTATGTTTCTAGTCATTTAATTTAGATTCATACCTAGTTATTTATTGTGGGAAATAATAGATCTATCATTCATCATTTAAGTTCTAACATTAAATTACTCTTAATCACTTAATTTCATTGTTAATGACTTCCTTCTTATAATTCATACTACATTTAAATCTTAAAACCTATTTGATGGGTAAATGGTTACCATTTCGACCAGGCACATAGAAGTCAAGCCAGTAAGCTACCTAACCCATTTTCATCAAAAATTAAATAAGGCTATGTTAGGCTTTACATGAAAAATTAAAACACACTGTTTAACAGTCTTTTATTGAAAAAATACGACTACCCTAAAAAATTAGTTGAAAAAACTTAATTGGCTCAAATTAAAATACTACAGACAAAGCATATAACTAAATTAAATTTTTCTTAAGGTACTACTTCACTGGTACTGCCCACCACGCCAATTGCTGGCAGTTGTGCAGTGCTTTAGTGGAATAGAAAGGAGCCTATTTCGTTAGCAATGCTCGGCAGTTTAGGTAGGACATCACATTTATACTGCTCCTTTCTGAACACTCCTGAAGTAGTGAAGTTGCTGGCAATATGGAGGTCACAGGTTATGTTATCATATCAGAACATTGTTTTGATGATAACAGTCACCTTGATATGTTTCATTTCCTTTTCTTTTCAATAAATCAGGCAAACTTAGATGAAAAATTGTTTAAAATTTAAACAAAGCTGTAGTAAATAATACTTTAAAGGTTGAAATAACAAGATTATTTATTCTACCAAAAGTATTTTACAGAGGAATTCAAATATACCTAATTTAAATCCCAATGACATTAAATAAATGAAATAATACAAAAAAAAAAAAAAAAAAAAATTAACTTCAGGTAAATACTCAAATCCAGATATTGAAAAATCAATTTGTATTTGTTAAGGAAAGAGCTGATTTACTGATTACTATTGATAAAACATTGCCTGTTGTTATTTCATTACAAACATATGATATTTATTACTAATCAGTTATAGAATAATTATTCCTTTTACAAATCGAACTAATAATAAATTTAAAATCAGAGATAAATCATCAATTCTTAAAATAATATTTTTTCATCTTCTTTCTACTATAAAGGTTATATTTTATATTGTCAGAAAACATCATTTTGTAGAAGGTGGGCATTAATATGTAGGTAATTGTTAACATTTTATAGTACAGACATAACCTAACCTTGTTATTTAACTTAAACTACCAGAAACAATGGCGTGTATTAATTAAATAAGAAAGAAACTCCATCACTTTCATCATCCATATATGTATTGCTGTGCTTTTGATAGAAATGAAAACCATTAAATTTAAGGCTAACATTTTTATTTAAAATTATTTTAAACTAGGATGCTAAATCAAGAGGATTAGGCTGTGACAGTCAGCAGTTTCAGCAAAATAGACAAGCATTAACGGTTGGCAGAATGGAATGGCAGTCGTTGTTGTGGGCAGTACCAGCGAAATAGTACCTTGAGGAAAAGACATAAAAACTTTCTTCGAACGAATCTATAAATAGTTTTATAGGCTAAACGAGTCTAAAAATCAAGTTAAACTAGTTTATAAAAATTTACTGTAAAACTAAAGCAATAGAGGAACTTATTTAAACAACGTGAAATAATCTATTTGGGCACTCATTATATTGAAGAAATAGTATTATAAATAAATAATGTTTTAACTTAAGCTTGATTTGAAGAATGATTTAAGGATTTTATCGGGAAAACAAATCAACAAGAGGGACAATTTAACACATCTTCATAAGATACTATAATATAACTATAACATAAGATACTAAGATAATACTTTAACTGTGAGTATTTTATCATGAATGTGTTTTGTAACTAATGAGTTCTAATATGAAAAGTACTTTAAAAAAAAACATAATTACAAAAATTAAAAAAAAAAAAATATACCCAATAATAATTAAAATATATAATGGATAAATACTTTAAGAATAAATTGAAAAGTTAAGAAAAGCCAGTATTTTAATTTTTCAACAAACATAAAAGATAATCCTTTAATAAAGTGTTATTAAAATAGTATTCCCCAATGAATTTCTTAAATAATAAAAAATAAATAAAAAAATTTAGGAGATGTTCCTAAGTCTACTTTGAGCAGGTTGGAAGCCACAGGGGGGTTTGAGAACTATGCTATAACTTACTCATTAAACATGCAAATGCTAAAACCAGGAATATAATGTTATATTATTTTTTAACCTATACTTAAAAATCATATTTAAAAAATGCATAAATGCTTTTAAAAAATAATATTTTGTTGTCCTATAGTTAAAAAATGAAATTGCCAAAATTGCAATGAAAATTTTTTTTTTACACTGTAATTAAATTTGACAGTAATATAAGTTCTTGGACAAGCATAATTCCTTAAAAGAGGAAATTTATATTTTACATTTATTATAGCGATTTAAATAAATCAACAAAATCAAAATAATAATGAATAGACTAAACACAGTTGTGATATATACAAGTTCGGACATTCCAGAATATGCCTCATTATTTATTATACTCACGACCACTCGATTAGCTAATTAAACTAAAATAATCATTTATACTTAATTTAATTTATTTAAACTTATTACACTTGCTAAACAACGATTCAGTCGTGATGAAATTACATTTGTCAGTTTCTCTGTAGAGAATAAGCAAGAAAATAACAGGTTTGAATTGCATTTTATTCTAGTGCTTTTCTTAAATTATTATCTGTAATTTTAATTACGAGAATTTCAAATGTAATTATTTTGCAGAGGGAGCACTTTAGATGAAAATGACTTTAGCCTAGGCTAATAACAGCAATCAAAAGCAAGACTCGAAATAACAAAAATAATGATTTTAATTAGTGCCAATGAAATAAAGATTCCTACTTCCAATTTTTTTGAAAATTTAAACTTTAAAATCAATCATGAAAGTATTCTGATGGCTAAAATTTGAATAACAAGAGGTTAAAACTGAGGGAAAGATTTTTAATAATATATTTAACCAACATTTAAGAATTGAAGATAAATTTTGATTTACAAGAATATATAAAATCAACATAGGTACACTATATGTGCACCCCTATAACAATGTAGATATCATAAGATTTAAAAATCAAGGAAAAATATCCAAGAGACAATGACTTGACTTATGATTAACTATATATAATTAATAAATATTAAAATCATAAAATCTTATGATCAAAGAATAATAATTTAAAAAAATATTCAATTTTTAATAAAAACACATATCTGACCTGGTCAATACTAGGAGAACGACAACGATCAGAGTCTGTGTCAGGGGGCTGTGTTCTTTTAGGCGACTTGGGAACTCTTTGATAAGGGTCAGCACCACCATATAGGTCTGGTGAAGCAACATTGAGAAGGCAAACCTTGTGCACAATGTCGACGACAACAGCACCAGTATCAGTACCATATGCTAATCTGTATAACATAACAAGTGAGTGAAGGAACGAGCAATAATTTCCAACATCATAATTACATATTACAACATTTGTATACTGCGATAAATCTACAGTATACAAACATGATTATTTAAAGAAAATACAAATATTTTATAAGGGAGTACAATGAGATATATACATAACTAATAAATTAAAAAGCCTTACAGTCCATAAGATGAATTTATACTGAGACTTGTAATAGGAGCAGGAGATAGACAAACCAAAACAGCTTGAAAACCAGGAGGTTTCTTTTGTAATCCAGGCTTAACTTTCACGGGAATGCTCATGTCTGCACCAAATGGCTGGAAAAATGAATAGTAATAATTGAAATATTCATATAAAATTTTACAAAGTTGAAATATATAATTCAATTTAAAATAAAAAAGCTTTATAAATATAAAATCATCAAGGTATTGAGTATTTTATGTATGATGCACTTTAGAGATGTTAAAGTACTCAAGGTTAACAATATCTTTAAAAGAAATTATATCCCACGAACAAATGAAAGAAAGGTCACAGGTGAGAAGTCCTAATAATTATATTTGATAATAAATTACTGCATCGAATTTTCATCTTGAAGGATGATATGGTAATTAGAGAATTTAGGAGACGTTGCATGATACAGGTCCTATAAATATAATTGGTGTAAATGGGCACATACAATTGTTCGACTAAATAATGAACCAATCCCTAAAAGAGGCTATCAGCTCTGAATCACTAATAAATGTTTGAGGGACAGATTGGTAGATATATGGGAGGTGATTGCTCCTCATAAAATGAGTTTTGGTTTTGGCAGAGTTCAGTAGGACCATGTACGTTATTTGTAACTGATGGTTGTTGGCCCAAAAACTGAATGATTCAATAGGAAATTTATAAGTAAAAACGAAATAAATAGATTATGTTGATTATTGGTTGATCAAAGTATCAATTTCCTTGAAAATAATATTTCAACACAACATTAAATAAAAAAAAAAAAAAATCATGGCTTTCAGTCTTACATTTAAAAATGATGGAAAAATTAACAACACTTAAATTAGTATACCTTGCTTTCAGATGATTCCATTTTGCTAAGGGTTCCCCTTCCAGCAAATTCTGAGTCCGGAGAACATTCTGATTCATCAAATCCTTCATAGACAATAGGAATTTCCAGAGCCTGAATAAGGCAAAAGAATAAAAATTATGATAATATATTTATATATTGTTGTAACCAACATGAAATTCAAGCCAGTGGACGTAAAATACATTTTAATTATAAAGTAATAAAACATGTGTAAACCTCACTATAAATTGTAAAAACTTTAGGCTGGATTGAACATAAGGCTTGATAATTTTAGTCTCTCACTATATATGTAAAATCTTCTTGTGACTAAAAGTTGTTTTGTATTATTATTAAGCTCTGCACATGGGAATGTGCAAGCACACATTTGGGATAATAGCAGGGCGACCTGTGCAAGGCAGGGATGAACTCAGGAATAATCTCATGAGGAGTCAAAGATGTTTGCAGAAATATTTTACTTGCCTGCTATTTGTTACAATTTTCTTATTTTAGAGGAAGATGAACGTGGAATCAATAGATTTAAGATTTATCAGAAGCCTATGGTTAATTGACCTAAAAATAATTAAAAGGTATCTACAACATACATTTGTTTTATCAGTAAAAAAGCAATGGCTATATTTGAAATAAGAAAAAAATATATCAAAATTAATTGCTTAATTTTAATTTCTTAATCTATTATAATCCTCAAATTTTTGACTGTTTTACCATATTTCAAGCACCATAACATCAAATTTCAATAACTGTAATGAACTGTAAAGATCTAGCAATACTCAGATTCACAAATAAACAGCTTCCAACTGCTAAAAAAATATCGTTTAGATAAACCTGAATGTTTCCCTTTTAGAAATTAGAATTTTTTACTAGGAATTGCATATTTCCAACCCAATTTTTTTTTTTTTTGTGATTCGTTTACGTTCTGTTTCCCATACTTTACCTAATTTGTCATTTATATTAATATAAGTATCTCGAGTTGTATCTTAATAGTTTATTTCAATATGTAATAACATAGATTGCAATGGATATGAAGTAACTTTATTTAATAAATTATTGGAAAAAACAACAAATTTTATGATTGCAACATTATGAGTTCGACCCAACAAATATTCAGCAGCGATGAATATCAGATGGCAACCAAATCCCCTCTAACTCAGGTCTCAACATGCCAATATATTTGAATACATTAGTTTCACTCATTCAAAAATAAAAAAACTGTCAAAGGAGAGCTTCTCAGTACAGATAAAAATTGTATTTATTTTGTTTGTAATAAAAAGTATCCTTTTTGGAAATGATAAAATTAGACGGATTATGTCCTTTCAGGGAGGGAGGGAAAATAGGGTTAGAGTTGACAAATAATATCCCTCTGATAAAGGTACATATACTAGAACATCAATATCAATTGTGTTGTTGCAGATTAGCTGGTTTTGATGTTTAAATCACAAGTACAAATTCTATACTTCTATGAACAATTTTTTAAAATTTATATCTACTATAATATAAGAATAGTTTACAGTAAGAGATAATTAAAAATTAAGATAAATTAATTTAAAAAATAATTTGCATTATATAATAATTGCATTATATTGTGATTTAAAAAATAAAAGTTTGTTTGTTTAGGCTTTAAGGCGTAAAACCCTAGGGCCATCAACACCTAAAAATAAAAGTATTACTATGCAGTCCATAGAATCTTGATTCAAAATTGAATTTACATTACATATTCTATTGATGTAATGATAACAATAGGTTCTGAATTTTCCAAAGATTCACAGCTTTTATTTTTACTATGGTTCAGCTTACACATGTTCTTTGAAACAATATGCCGTTAATAATAATTTAATAAGTATTTCGAGCTCCAAAATATTTAATTATTTAAGATATTGATTTTGATTCTATTTTCTATTAGGTATTTAAGTGACATAATTAATTTAAAAAAAATGTAAGTTAACTTAAAAATTTAGTTAATTTTTTAAGAGAAAAAATATTATAATTATCTTTTGAATTAAAAAATAAAAATTACATACCACAGTTTCTGATGTGGATTCTTGCTTTTTAAACTTAAATAGTATGACATAGCCGGATGCTCCTCCTACAGCGAGTTTCCTAGATTCTGGACATAATGAAAGAAGCTGAACAGCAAAGGGATCCTCTTCCGATCCGTCCTGAGAACGTGAAGGAGGTCTTTCAAAGACTTTGTTTGTTTTGAGTTTATATAGGATCTGCAAGGTCCCTGCAGAAGCATCCCAAAACTTAATACTTCCATCAGCATGCCTGTAATTTAAAAATTTTTAATGATAATTTACAATTACATTATTTTTAATGATAATTTACAATTACATTATTTTAAATGATAATTTACAATTACATTATTTTTAATGATAATTTACAATTACATTATTTTTAATGATAATTTACAATTATATTATTACAATCATGATATCTGGTGACCTCTGCAAATAGAGATTTCATTGTCATTAAGTTCTTGTAGACAAACTGGACTTAATACATGTTGTTTAAGGGTAATTTTGTGCATTCAAAAAATAAATAAAAAGACTATAAAAATTAAGTATCTTGGATTATAGGATAAATGCTAAATATCAAAAACATGAACACTTTTTTAAAAAATCTGGAGTGGTATGCATCACACAACTTTCACTGACCAACCTAATTAAATTTCTGCTCAAATAGAATTAATTAATATCTGTTAATATCTAACTATTTAAATCTGTCATTGCGGCTCAAGCTATTAAACTAAGTTTATTAAAGTATACTATTAATTAAACTAAAGTAAATATCAGTTTACTATACGTATATCACTATGAGACAAACAAATATAGGCTGTTTACCCAGTAATAATAATTTCACTGTAGCTGCAAGGAGGAACAGACCATTCACCTCCAACTAGAGGCCATTCTTTAGTGCTGAATCCAGATCGTTTTGAAGAACGGGATCCTACAGAGTAGAAAGCTGGAATAAGGTCGGAAGGGCAATCAGCAAGGTATGTACAGCAGGTCACAGGGCATTCGTGGATATCCATTGGGTAAGGACTTTCGAAACATGGGAATCCAAGACTCAGTAGATCAATTACTACCAAATCATTCTGAAGAACAACTACTATTGCGTATGGCTCAGGAATATCTGAAAAATAATAATAATTAAAATCAGCTTTGCACATGTTATGATTTACAAATATAAATATTTAATATAAGTGTGAAAAAAAAAATAGAATATTAACATCATTTTTGGAAAAAGGATTAAAGACCAAAAAAGTTAAAAATTAGGTTTTAGTTTATTTTAAGTCATACATTCATTAATAGCTGTATATTATAACTATATAATACAAAGGTTTCTCATTTTAACAAACTCCTACTGCATACTATAAAGAATATAATTAAAAAATAAAAATAAATCAATAAACTATCAGGCATAACGAAATGTGAGTTTCAACTTCGTGCCACATGATTTCACTATCGGGTCAAATATTAAAATATCGGGTCGCCAACTAAGTGTGATGAATAAACATTAAAATTATATATCAATGTGGTACAATTGCAAGGGTGTTGCGATGAAAAAATTTGAGAAATGTTAAACAAGAAAGGAGAAAGCTCATTCCTCTCTACATTTATAGAGCCCGCCTCCACAATAAAGAATTAATTACAATCCTCTGACTTTATTTAGAAGTGTACTTTTAACTTTAAAAACTATGAAAACTGATTAGTAATGCTAAATCTTTGACAAAATTTATCCACACTTTTGTTGTATTGTTCTAGCTAGAAAACCCTTCATATAAAATTTCAACTCATCTGATCCAAGGAGGGTCAGTATATATTAACTTATTATTATTATTTTAGGTTAATAGTGAAAGTATTTAGAAATATGAAAAATTTAAATATATGTTTATGCACACAATTTCCTTAACTATATTTATTATAAAATTACTACATAGAAGATTTAAGTTTCAATAATTTATTTAAATAAATATCCTTCATAATATAAATGAAAATTTTGAAAGTATCATTCAGTATTAACTATACAGTGTACTTTATTAATTAACTTGATATAATCTTAATTTAAACATCTTTAGAAATAGCACTCATACTTAATAGTAATATGAGAAAGTAATCAATGTTAATTAATCAACTGACTCTATAAGAGTTATAGCACCAAGAAAGAAGAAGAATTAAACAAGTATTAACTACATTATGAAGAAGATTAGGATAAAATTTTATATTTCTTTAATTTCAGTTATTATTTAAAATATTACATAACTACAAATCAAAACATATTGTAAAAAAACTATTACCACTTGGATAAGGGCTTTCGCAAAGAGTCATGAAGTCAATCACGTTATGTTCCATTTCTAATACTGTGGTAGCTTTTCCATGTATTATAGTAATGGTCGGTGATCTACCAGCTCTGTCGTAAGTTAAACCACCAGAAAAAATAACAAAAGTTTCTCTGTAACAAGAAAATGGATGAATAGATACAATGAAAATTACAGAAAATAAAATTTCACATAGAACTAATACATAAATATAGAAAATACATATGTATATATATTTTTTTCAGAACTGTTCTGCTTGCAACAGAAGTAAAGTTCTTCAGCAGAAGTCACTGCAAACTTATTATTATAATTATTAGTGTAGGTAGCTCTCCAATCCAGTGTTGAATCCTGGCATCCTCCAGCAGCTTCGATCAATTGTCCCAGTCTCTTTCAGCCACCAATTCCGAAACCTCAGTATATTTGTTGCTTGGGCAGAAACACCATGAGCCAATTGCAGCTTTGGCCTTCCTCTTCTCCTTGTACTATGGAGTGGCTCCATCTTGATGGATCCTAACTGCCCATCCTGACGATGTGTCCTGACCATCTCAGTCTTGCAATCGTAATCACTCGAACTGTATCAGGCTCCTTAAACATGATGTATTTTTTTTTCTTGGTTTTTCCTCCTTTTCCAATCTCCTCCGACGAGAATACTACTATAGATATGTCGGAGGATTCTACTTTCAAAGAATAGGAGTTCTTGTTCACAAGCCCAGGAAGTACTCCAAGCCTCACAACCATAAAGCAAGAAAGACTGGACGCACTATCCTCTCATAAAGACATAGATTTGATCTTCTGGAGAGAGACTCTGGAACTGCCTTGCCTTGGAAAAATAACATTGATTTGCTGCTATGATCCTATGATGGACCTCTATTTTAGGGGTATTGTCTTGAGTTATCAATGAGCCAAGATATACAAGAACATTAGTCTTCTTGAATAGGTACTCTCCGAAGGTCACCTTCTCTCCAGGCCTAGGCATCTCTCCTTTAACCTTATTTTGTTTTGGCAGTGTTGAATTCCAAGTCGTCCAAGACCCACCAGAGGAAGGAAAGCTTCCAATACATCTTGGAAGGAGCGTCCTACAATGTCTATATCATATGCATATGCAAGGAGTTCTACAAATCGAATAAAGATGTTGCCTTTGGTTTTTTTTTATCTCCACTTTCTCGCTTTTTAGGCTAAACATGGTTTTCCCAGGCTAGGGAGTTAATGAGGGGGATTAATGCCAGAGTTAAAAGCTCACCTCGGCACTGGGACACAAACTTGTAACGATTTTATCATTTATAACTTCGGTTATTAGGTTGCCCAGCAACGTGCGATGCTGGGCACACATGTTAGCCTGTTCGGCCACCCTGCATCGTTGCTTTTGGTCTATATGCCAGCATCTCTCGCTACTTTTTTAAGTGCAAGATCAAAGAGAAGGTAGCCTAAGGCGTCTCCCTGGCATAATTCTTTTTCTGAGGGGAATGCTTCCGACCGCTCTCCAATGATTTGAACCATACACATAATGTTGTTCATTGTAAGTTTCGCGAGGCTTATGAGCTTGGTAGGGATCTTAAAATGCTTTAGAACCTCATAGAATTCTTCCCTATTCATGCTATTATAAGCTGCTCTAAAATCAATGAAAAGGTGGTGAATTTTAATCTTGAATTCCCTTCTTTGTTCCAGAATTGTCTTGAGGAAGAATATTTGAATGGTCATACAGCCTTTTCTGAATCTGCATTGGCATCGACTGAGTACCCTCTCTGCATGGGGTAATAAAAAGCTTAAAGAGGATATTTGAGAGGACTTTGTATCTGGCAGATGGGAGAGAGATTCCTCTGGTGTTGGAGCACGTTAGTTAACCACCCCTCTTCAAAATATGATGGATGAGTGACTTAGTCCATGGGTCTAGTAGAACTCCATCTGTCAAAACTGTGATGAGAAGATCTTGCATATCTTTCACCAGTTTGTTCCCATTGCACATGATGAGTTCTGCGGAGAGTCCATTAGCACCCAAAGTCTTGTTGCATTTCAGTTGGTTGATGGCATCAAGGATCTCATGTTCAAATGGTGGCTCCCTGTGGTCCTCGTCTTCTCTCCTTAATTCCCCACAAAGTTCCAAAGGTCCCTCGTTGAGGAGATTTTCAAAGTGACCCCTTCACTGGGACAGGGCTCTCTGCTTGTCGGAAAGTATGTTCTCCTCAGGGTCGTTGCAGATGTAAGGGGCATTAGAGTAGGGTTTTCGGCTCCTGTTTATTTTCCTATAAAAGTCTTGGGATTTCTTATCCTTCCTCCCCCTCCCAAAGAAAAACTGATGGTTTTTGTTTCGATTATTGATTTGTAAAAACAATTCAATTTAAATTTATCCGATATAAATTCATTTTGATCATCCTTCATATGAATAAAATTTATGATAGTTTCGTTAAATGACATGTGACTTTGTTGACTGAAAGTGTCTATGAAAAGACACAATTGAGTTAGTTAACTCTGAAAAATCGAGACAGAATAAACAGTAGGTAGCTATTCAGAAAACAACAAATTAAGTTAAGCAGGGGGTTCAGAGCAAGCTTGCTAAGATAAATGGGAAGGGTGTGAAGCCAAAAAATAAATAATTATTAAGTTATAAGTAAATAACTCGTATAATAATAAATCATACCCAGATTTGGAGGCTTTCCATTCTATTTTTTGAATAGGTTTACAAGATTCTGGTTTTCCATCTTTGTTGAGTTTTGCTAGAAAAAATTTAATTAAAATAAAAATGGAGATAATATCTTTATTTTATAATGATTTTTATTTATTTTTTGTTCTTGAAAAAACACAAAAACAATCTCTTATGTCATACTGACCACCTATATAAACAATTAAGAAAAATGATCAAAACTGAAATAGTTAAAATAAAAATTTTAATGATAAAAAGGGATTAAAAAAAAAAAAAAAAATGAATAACTCAATGGTTGGAAATTACCATGAGGTTGAACTGTAGATATTTTTGCTGGCTGTCTTATATTCCAAGTGAGTAAAGTTCCATCGGTATGTGAGGACATAAATTGTTTTCCATCGTGGGACCATGCGATAGATTTGACTGGTTCAGCACTTTGCCATCTGGCTTCTGCAGTTCGTAACCGAAGGTCCCAAAGGACAATCTGACCACTTTCAAAAGCTATAAGAAGCTAGAACATAAAGAGTTATCAATTAGAAAGTAATAAGAAATTAATTACTTAAATTTAAATAAAAGTTATTCAATATATATACTTTTCTTGATTATATTAATCTGAAGAAGCAATGTCTTTTATAGTGCAATGAAAATAATATAAAACTATAGCCAATCACATTAAATGATGGTTTAAGTAAGATAAAAAATGAAAAATATAATTCCTGTACAATCATTGTATAATTATGATAAAAGAAACCTGAAGTAAAAAGAATAAGGAAAAACTTATTTTCTAAATTGATTAAGTGATTTTTTTGTTTTAATGTAAAAAATAAGACAAATATTTCATTCCTATTTGATTACTAACAACCACGCTGGAGTATAAAAATCAGAAACAGAGAGAAAACTAAATTTCATTCATACATGTTTCACAATACTCCATTGGTAAACAGAACAAAATAAGTAAATAATTAATTTAATAGAAATTCTGAAGTAAGTTACCAAGAATGGAGAAAAACGTTACCTTGCTGGAATCTAAAGGGTTATCACTTAGATGAACTACAGGACCTGGGTGAGTTTTTCTTGATCTGAAAATATAATTAGACACAAAATAATGTTTTGAAAAAATAAAATAACAATCAGAGCTTGCAACGGAAAAAAGAAATTTATTTTGAAAAAGTTTTGTCAAAAAGTCATGTTCTAAACAAAAAGGTAGTGAGATATAAGATTTTCATTCTGATATTGTAAGAAACTGATCATAATTTGGATTTTCAAGGATATTAAATGTTGGAAATAATGTAATGTAATATGTATAAATACATTTAAATTTAATACATATTAAAAAAACCACACATGAAATGAAACATTATTAATCCAAATAGCAATCATGAACATGGAACCTCAAGTGGACTTTTATATTACAGTGATGTAATGAATGAAATTTCTTTATTATTTTTGCAAAGTTTAGTAAAAAATGGGATAGCATGATAAAATGTCTAAGAAAGAAAGTGGCAAGAAAGAAATGTTTTCATAAAAAAACTTATCTCGCCTTAATGCCATTTAAGTATGGACCAGGGTAAAATTTATTCAAAATAATATTTAATAATTAATTGAATAATTATATAAAAAAACAAAAGAAACATTATTATTGAAGGTGTGGAAAGATGGAACAGGATGAGGTTATTCATGACCCGTTAATTGCTCATATAATCATATAAGCTTCATTAATCAAAGATATAATAATCTCTTGTTCCATCACAATATAAGAGTGCAAATGAATTAATTAATATAACATGAAACATTGATTTATCAATGATGAAATTATCCTGAAAATGAAAATAGTTATAGTTAATAATTTATTTGTTTGAGAATAAGTGGAAACTATAATTATTAAATGATTTCAACAAAGCATTTATAATTTTAATTTTTAAAAACTAACTTTTTTTTCAACTGAAATATTAATATTAGTTTAACGATTAATATTTTTTTAGATTAATAAATAATACCAAAATAATCTTTATAATGAAAAGCTTTTATTAATAAAAAAGAAAGTAAAATCTAACTTACACCTCAATAGCTTTGTTCCAATTAATAATATAACCAGAAAGCTGAAATGATTCAATGTTGACGACATGGACGTTCCCTCTTTCTGAACCAACATACAACCATTTGCTTTGTAATGGAAGATGGATGTATGTTAACCTATAGGGAATTAAAATGTGCTAAAATAAAGTAAAACCAAAAATATAATTCTAAAAAAAAATTAAGATTAGTATACATAAGTAAACTATTGCAGACTGTGCTGACAACAATGTGATATTAGTTTAGGTTCTATATACTTTATTTTTTAAATAAGTAATATTATATATATGTATAACATGATAATAATAGTTTTAAAAAAAAGATGATTAAACTTTATGATTTTCTAAATCTTATTATATTATGAATAAAAAAAGTCCTAAAATTTATGAAGTGAAAGAGAATTGAGTTATAAAAAAATAGTTGTTTATTATATACTAAATTATTTTAATGGAAATGAGAAACTCAAGTTTGAAATAAAAAATAGAAGAAAACACAAAAGATAAGTTCTTACCTTTCCCTTTGAAACTGAAGGCTGTGCACTAGGTCTGGTTTCTTCTGCCTGAAGCTCCAGAGGTGAACGCTGTCATCAGCAGTTGCTGTTACCAGGGCACCCTCGTTGACTAAGAACACTATCTGTACCACAGCTGTCTCGTTCTCATGCCAAACATGGCAGTCGACACCAGCACGGCCCAATCTGAAGGCTATTCATTAAGGAAAACAGTCAAATAATATATATTTTGTAACATATATCATTCCTCAAAACTGGAATATTTGTCGAACCGGAAAAAAAGGAATAACTGCATTACACCATGATAAAAATTTATGAAAAATTAAACTTAATTAAATCGATAAGTTTTTCAGATCTCACTGAAATCATATGAGTATCAAAAGCACATAAAAGTGAAAACTTATAAGAAAACTACATACTCACTACATAAATGGAAAGGAAACTAAAACTATACAATTCTTGAAAATTACCTTTTTAAGATTTTCAAAAGAAAAAAACTTGGAATGTGATAAATAAATTATCATGACTTTCATAACAGATTAATCATCATCAAAGTCATTAAGCAGTTATAAAAACTGAACCATTAAAAAGTTTAGCTAAGGGGAAGGAAACTGATTAAGAACTTCTTCTGAGGTTTATAACTTTTATTTTGATTGGTGTTTGGAAATGAAGAGATTTATTTTACACAAATCTAGAAAAATCACAGCTGCATTTCTACAACAGCAGCAATACTCCAGTTATTTGAGTTTTTAATATTGTAAAAATAAAATGAATTTCAAACTAATGTTGGATTGGTGTAATTTTTTGGCTAAAATGATTTGTGTAATATAAAAAATTCTTATGGAAAAAAAAATAGCTTATTAGTAACAATATTGATTATAAGGTCAAGAGATCTTTTTATTTGGATACTAAATAAAATATTCCGTATGTTTGGAAAGTAAAATAAGTCTTTAACTGGTTCCTTTGGATATACAAAAGAGTCACTAGTATAGATAAAATACTGTAATTTTGTGCCACATAAACACAATTTTGAACTATACTAGAAGAGAAAATATAGGAACAGGAAGAACTACCAGAGGAATGCTATGTTCCATAGCAGTCATTTGTCCTATCCATGAAAAGTGAGACATTCTGGTGTGCAATAATGTTTGTGGTATCTCATTTGTAGACTCCGCATATAAGATTCTGTCTAGAATTCTGTTCCAAAGACTACTTCCTTTTGCATAGCATGTAATTGCATACCATACCATAAAAAAAAAAAAAAAAATAAAATAATAAAAAAAAAGGTATTATGAAAGCTAGGCACTATTTGGCTTGCAGAATATTAGGAGGAAATACTTGAAATAAGCAGAAATACTTTTGACTGAATAATGTGACACCTAAATAAGAATGTTGTGAAGGATTTACTAAATGAAATAACAATTTTAAGCAATGTATGTTTTAAAACAAATTATGTTGTTGTTCGTAACAATAACAAGCTGAATCTTATACAAAAGAGCAAAAGGGGTTCTAAGTTGAACTATTGGACCAGAGAGACCGAATCAGCAACCCAGCTCAGCATGAAGATGAACTAAGTGGTTTATGTTGTGCCAACTTCTGGTCAGATACAATAATGGCTGAATTGGCATTGTAAACTTCCAAACTGAGCAAGGTATCTATTGTGAAACAAAAGGAGTATTGTTTTCAGATGAGTGGTTCAATAAAATTTAATGAGAGCACCAAGACAATAATATAACATTCAAAATTACATTTAATCTCTATTTATTTAAAAATTATATTTATAAAAATGTATAAACATTTGGTTTCTTTAAATTTAAATAATATAAAATAAAATGGGAGTGATATGGTTATAATAAACAGATTCAAAAGAAATAAAATATCTAATAAACTTCGAGGCTTCTAAATATTACAATTAAAAATCAATTCTTTTACCAATACCCACGAAATAAATAACTTCACTTCTACAGAATCGATTGCCGTTATATTTGCGAACATTTTGATTTTACAGCTGTTAATCTTGACTAATTCCTTAACAAGTTAAAAAAATCGAACCTATAAACGTACTTCTATATTCATGAAATTCTTCAATAATGCTCATGAGACCCTTCCTACACCTTTTAACCTATGATACAATATACAAACGTTATATCATTTACAACAGAAACGGTTGAAATAAAAAAAAATATTAAATTCCTCTACAAATTAAAAAAAAAAAAAAAGAGCGTATTCGGAAGTTTGATTCCATTAACACGACAACATTTGATTACATACTTGCTCCTTTTCAATCTTCAACGAACCTCAGCGGATATGAGGTTTTATTTCTTTTTTTTTTTTAATTTTATTCTGGGACTGAAGTCCCCTTGGAATAATAGTAGAGTTAAAAAAATATGTACATTAGTCTGGCAAGTAGATACCATACAAATATATACAAAACATACTAAGGATATTGTAGATATATGTATATATATATATATATATAAGTTAAGCGTCGTCGGACTTAAGAAATAAAAAAAAAGAAGGAAAAGGGAAGAGATGTAACATACACGACTTCTGAATAAACACTGCTTTATTCGTTCCATAAGCCTCCTTATATACACTTAGCCTGTTTATTTACATTATCAGATAGTATTAAGGCTGATACCGCCAGTCTCCGGTCTTTATCTCCCCCCCACCAGTTTACGAACAGGATTTTCGGAAACTTAAATATTCCTAGATCGGAGCCCACGGTGACCAGCCTTAACACTTTACAATTGGTTTTACAGTATATCCTTAAAAGAAAATAAAACACTTCCACTCAACTGGAAAAATAATAAAAAAAAAATAATTAAAAACACTGAAACTAAACACAACACTTTAGAACTCCTACCACTTGAGAACTCCTAACAACAACAAAAAAAAACACAATTTCCTCTATACATGAAATAATACAAAAAAAAAATTTTTCACAATTTGTTTTGTTTTGACAGCCACAAAAAAAACATATTTCTCTGTTTTATCTACAGCGGTGAGGGTACTACGAATCCGTAGGTCTATGTCCCGACTCTATCATTGGGAGCTTTAATTGTTCGATATGAACGGTTCTCCTCTTTCTGGGCTCATTCACGCTCTCAATAGTTAACAGGTTATGCTCCCTAATAGCAACCACTCTGAATGGACCCTCGTACCGTAGCAATTGTTTCCCTCTGTTGGTTCCCAATTTCCGGTAAACTATAGGTCCTATTTTTAGTTCCCCCATTTGGTCGCGTACCTGTACATTCTGCCTTTCCACCCGCTTCTGCTTTTCCCGCTAAATTCTCGCCGTTATCTTTCCCCATGTTTTCTCTACCTCTACCCTATTGCTGAGAATTTGATCCACTAACGGTTCGGTAAGCGTAGTTTCCCCATAATCCCGCCTTGGCCTGCGCATCCCGAATAGAACTTCCATGGGTGAAAACCCCGTTACGGAGTGGATCGAGTGGTTATAGGCTGTTACCGCTTTCCTCATTGCCACATCCGGCTCCAACCCTTTTTCACCCTGATATACACGGACGTGGTCGCTTAATGTACTGTGCAGCCGTTCAATACCGCCTCTACCTTTAGGATGTCCTGGGGTGTTATAATGCCACGCAATTTCCAATCGCTTCACCTCCTCCCTAATCGCGGCATTGTCGAACTCCCTACCACCGTCCGATGTAATCCTCTCGGGGACCCCATAGAACTGCACCCAGGTTTGTAGGGCTTCCGCAACTGCATTGGCTGACTTCTCCATCACTTGGTATGCCATCGCCACCTTGCTGAATATGTCGATTACCGTGACCCACTTAAACCCTTTCCAGGTGAACGTGTCAATCTGAAGGTCCTGTAGCGGCATATTCCCTGTAGGTGTCTCCTCCTGAACTCCTCTGGGGGGGTGTCGATCGTATTTTGTGCGCATGCATATCTCGCATTTCCCAATGACTTCCTGGATGGACCTCTTCATGCCCCACCAGAAATACTTCCGACGCAATGCCTGCAGCGTCTCGTTAACGCCTCGGTGATTGGTTTTCCCCTGGTGATATGCTACTGTGATTGCTTGCTGCTGCTCTTCGTCCTGTACCGTCTCCACAGCATACTTGCACCGGATGAATGTCCTGTCCACACCTATTCGCTCGGACCTCCACATTCGCTTGATCTTATCCCATACCGTATTGTTTCCCACGTATAGGTAGTGCGTTTTACCCGCTTCCGAGGCATCCCTCAGTGCCGTACAGATTTGTTCTTCGCTGACCCCGGGTTGCGACCAAATGACGCGGATCCTACTTCTCCCGTACCTTCTGAAATCGATTTTCATGATTCCGGTTGTTCCTGTCTTCCAAATCACCTGACGGTGTTTGTCGTTCACGATCTCCTCTATTTCTTCCATCTCCGCTGCCCTTTCTTCCGCTGAGCTCTCCTCTTCTAGGGACTCTCCCCTGTCCTCAATACCTGCGGTATCATTTGCCCCTTCGCCATCGGGAGTCCATTCCCTCAAGAATTGACGCACGTCCTGCGATGGTCCTCCCCTGTCCTCTTCAACCGCGTTGATCATGATGGCCCTCGAGAGCCAGTCTGCCACCACGTTTTCCTTTCCCGGCTTATACACCACCTCTATGTTGTATTGGCTTAGGATCTCCTTCCATCTCGTGACCCTAGCTGAGGTTTCCTTGAGTTTTCCTACCCACTGGAGGGGTTTGTGGTCGGTATGGACTCGAAATTTTCTCCCGAATACGTATGGCCTGAAATGGTCGATAGCCCATACTATCGCGAGTAGCTCCCTCTCCAAAGCGCTGTACCTTGATTCCGCACCCGTAAGCCGACGGCTCGCGTATGCTATCGGTCGTTCACCCTCACTCCCCCCCTGGGACAAAACGGCCCCTAACGCGTATTCACTCGCATCGGTGGTTATATTAAAAAGCTTCTCAAAATCCGGGAACGCTAACACCGGCTCTGTCAGCAACCTATTCATACATTTTCGAATGTTATTCTCCATCTCTGGTGTCACCACAATCTTCGCGCCTTTCTTCAGCAAATTGTTAATGGGTACCAAATACTCTGCCATCTCGGGTACGAATCTCCGGTAATAATTCAGCGTCCCGAGAAGCCTACGGATCCCCTTCACGTCCCGTGGTACCGCCATCCGCGTGATTGCCTCCACCTTTGCCGCATCCGGTCTGACCCCCTCGCTAGAG